CAGTTACCCACTCAAAGTACTCAAGCGAGTCATGACAAGCATTCTTGAACCTAGCCCAGTTACAGCTTCTGCACAACTTGAATCTGCAACGCGTATTATCACAAAATTGCCATGGAAAGGACAAAATTGCATTGCCTTCTGCAAAAAGATTAAAGCTGCAATTTCAAACTGCTATCCTACAGTATCCCCCATTGTAATTTATACAACCAGGCCCGCATTCAGGTCTATCGCGAAGGATGTTTCACCAATTCTTGAAAATAGTAATTTTATTGATAAGTATGCATGTCGCTGTGAGCGGACGTACGTTGGTGAGACATGTCAGCGATTCTCGGAAAGGATCAAGCAGCATATCCCAGACAAGCTGTACAAGAAGCCGCCTGACAAACGTGTGGCAACAAGTGATAGCGCCATCACAAAGCATTTGCAAGCGCAACCTGAATGCATCCTGCTGGAACGCAACAGCAGCTTCAGTGTCACAACACCAGCCCGGAACAGCGCGCACCGATTCACACTGGAGGCGCTGTACATTCGTAGTTTGAGGCCAAAACTGTGTCGACAAAAGAAGCACATCAAGGTGCTGCGGCTGTTCAAGCTGCAACCGGACTGACAACTTTGTCACATGTTTGTTTTGGTACTGCATTCCCTTCATGTGTTGTTTTCCGCATTTATAGTACAGCAGTACACGATCACAATGTCCAAACAAATAGCTGTTTCGACATTGTTAGGTCTCCTCAACGGAGCTCAGAGTTACAGGCCAAATCAATCGCAATAAAGTCTAATGAAGAACAAAGCATTTTCACACAGGCTCTAAGCATCAAGGTCAGAGGGCACCAGCTGTGATAAACACAGCGAGCTTTGTACCAGGGCAGATAACTTTGACACAAACCAGACAGAAACGAGGGAGCGTAATACTCTAGAGGTAGTACATTCATGACTTCTGTTGTCCCTGAACGTCTATTACAATAATTACTTGAACTGTTTACCAAGTATGCAACACATGACAAAAAAGGTGCTATATACATATAGGCTGTTCAGACTGGTCAGTGGAAAATTCTAACATAGATCTGTAGGAGTTAGTCAGTCCCAATAGTTTTTAATGCCCCTCCACACTAGGCACACCTTTTGGTTGACAAAGAGAAGAATGTATGTAGGTCTTCCGTCATGCAAGAGCATTAGGATGCACACGGCCACAACAACCTTGAGGGGTAGGATTGAGTTGAGTTAAAGTTCATTTGAATACCTAGACCGTCTGCCGACCCCGGCTAGGTAATCCGAGAAAACCGTTTACGTCTCATGTCAACTGTAACCTTTCTGCACGCTTTTGTTCAGCTTTCATTTGAAGGCATTTGTGGAGGTTATTGGTCTAGTGACATTGCTATCGATGACATAGGCTTAGAAGACGACTGCTGTTCTGGAAACACATCTGCCAGCTGTAAGTTATGTTCAACATATCTGTATATTGCTGGTGATGTCAGGTGGTGATGTCAAGTGGTGATGCCGGGTGGTGATTTCCTAGGAGCAAGATGGGAGTTGCATCCATTGTGGCATCATTATCACAGCGCATGTGTATGTGTGTACGTGTATGTGTGTGTATGTGCGTGCGTGCGTGTGTGCGTTCGTGTGTGTGCGTGTATGTGTGTGAGATGCGGTTCTTTCAAACACTTATTTCTTCGCTTGTGCACACACACGCACATGCACACACACACACACACACACACACACACATGGACAAATACGCATTCCCAAATGTACACACATTCACAAACGTACACACATTTACAATGTGGATTGTGCGGATTGCTGCGGATCGTCCAGCATGGAACGCGCTGGTGAAGAGTGTTTGTGCACACCCCCGTGACGAGTAGAAACAGCCATGGCACCCTTATAAACTCATAACAACCATTCTATAATAATTATTACTATTTGAATCTTTGAATAACTATCTGGAAACTCAACCTCGTACATTATAATTATCTAGCCACCCATTGACCATGATGCTATATGAAGAGACAATAAAGATGACGTTTCCCCCAACGACACCAATTTTATGACGCTCCATGTTACTCTATGTTACTGAAGTACTAACTTTGGTCATTGGTTTGTAGAGCCCCATTCTCTAGGAGATATCTACATCTGCTCTGTTTCAATGTCCAGCATAAGCGAATGTGTGGATCAAGCATAACTGCTTGGTTGACGCTGCCGCGGAAATGCGTATAATAATAACACGCATTCACAAACGTACACACATTTGTATTTGTATTTGTATTTATATCATTATCTCATGGCAAATCATGATGACGGCCTGTCAAAATGGAGACAAGGGTGAAAGCCAACCACAGCAGTAAAACAGATAAAAGAATACAAAAAAGGCGAAGAAGGCAGGAGACAAACCAGCAGTATGTCATGCAAATACATGAAACCTATAATTGAGCAGAGATTTTAGCAACAAAATTATCCATCGACTTGCAGGTCTTGGCCTGCGTTGGTAATGTTGCTCAAAAAACATAGCCAGCAAAGATCAGGGATTTAGTGAATAGGGCGGAGGCAGCGCATGGGAGGCGGAGTTCCAGGTATTCCGTGTTTCGGAGAACCAATTATAAGCCTCCATATGCAAGGTTATTTTATTTAGTACATGTAATATTTTATGTATGAGAACACAGAGGTGGTACCTATATCGAGTGGAAAGAGGACTGATCTTGGCAATTTCGTAAAGGCTAGCGGAGGGCAAGCGACGATCTTTGCTTAATAAGATTTTAAGGAGCATGCGGTTATGGGTTTCTAGCTTGTTCAATACAGTAGTAGTTATGCCAGACCAAGCAGTATCACAGTAGTCAAGTAAGGGCAATATATAGCAACGGTAAAACAAGCTTTTTCAAGAAAGAGGAAGATGTCTACAGTGGGCTTGAAGAGCCCCAAGGATGGAGCTTGTGCGCTTGCAGACATACTGCACATGGGGTGAGCACGACAATTTGAAGTCAATAACAACGCCAAGATGCTTATGCTCTTCAACAATACGAAAAGCAACACTTGAAGAAGGAAAACAAAGTGGCAGGGAAGGGGGAGAAGGGGATATGTACAGAACAGGGACAAGTTCTTGGTCAGCGGTAGCTTTCCTCATGGAGAGCTGTTTCATCCCCCTTCACACCTGGCTTGCGCTGATTGGAGTGAAGCTGAACTTCTCGGCTAGTGGCAAGGGTTCGGTATTGCATGTCCACCGGGATTAGGCAGGCTTGAGTTTTTTGAGCTCCGTAGGTTTTCGTCGTTATTTCGCAGCCCACCCGGCATCAGGCCGGAGTGGAGCCCTTAGGAGTCGTAGTGTAGAATCGTAGCTTAGTGTAGAGTAGGTGATATTTTGAGTAGCTGTCACTCCCTGACCTACTCTCCGCCATGGACGAGCTGGCAGGTGAACCCCTGAGACTTCTGTGCAGTCTCCCAGGCATCGAAGCCAATGCAATCAGCTTGGTCCAGCAATTGTCGTCGTATGTTAGTGAGTCTAGAGATAGAGAGGAGCACGTGAAACGGCGTGTGGATGAGCTATGTCACGGGACACGTTTCATATTTACGAGGCGAACTCAGCTCCTTGAGGCAGTCCGCCATTGCCCATGTCGACCAACAGCAACAAAAAGGCGAGGAGGTCAAGGAGAGTGCGCAATTTTTTTTCTATGTTCACATAACCAGCTCGAAAAGAATAAGGAAAGACAATGGTACGGAGACTAGGACAAACTGACAAGTAATGAGCAGGCGCAGTGCCTTGACGCAGCAGTGATGGTGGGGCATTGATGACTCTGCCGACCGGAGGTCTCGGTTTCACAGCCAAAAACACGCACCAAAACAAGGCAAAAAAGAAGAAGATAGAGCTGTACAGGTCAGAAAGATGCGAAAAACCCGCAAAACCCAAGGCTTAACATGAGTGAGTGTGGGGAGAAACTATTATAGCATCATACTATTCATAGGGAATCGACTGCCCAGAGCCAGTTTGTGCTGCGAAGATGGCGATAAACGTTCGTTTTGAATGATTGCATTCTCTTGCTGTGGGGAGGCTGGGACAGGAGAGCGGCAGGGAGGGAGTTCCAGTCGCTGATGCTGCAGTGTGGGAAGGAGCGCTTCAGTGCCAGCGGGGCAGATGCAGGCAGCTGGTGTTGGAGCTGGTGGTCATGGCCACTGACAATACCGTGCTCGCTGCGTGTTCTCGGGTTGGCAGAGGTGATATGGCCTGGTGGCAACACAGAGAGCAGCTGCGGTGGACCAGGCAAGTAGTGCAGCTTGTACAGGCAGGCAAGCGAGGCAACAGTACGGCGGATGGCCAAGCTGGGTAGGTGTGCCCCAGGGCCGATAGCATGGAGTGCGCGGCGCTGAACATTGTTCAGACGCTGGAGGTGACTCTGCGCAGCTCCCATCCATCCATCCACGCACGGCCCCACTCGTGCAGCCGGTCAACGGACACCTGCAGTGACTGCGCTGCGACTTCCTGGGTCTGCTGGGAGGTGACTAAGCTGTATAAGGTCGTGTCATCAGCATAGGCCTCCAAGCTGGCGCCGTCAGCGAGAATGTCTGGCGCGTCGTTGACGTACGCCAGGAAAAGCGTTGGACCAAGAATGCTTCCCTGGGGTACTCCAGCGGAGGTCATATACGAAGCCGACGTTCGCCCTCCAACAAGGCACTGTAATGAACGGGTGTCCAGGTACGAGGCAAGCCATCTCTGGAGCGGACCTTCGATGCCTAGGCTGCGCACCTTGTGGAGGAGGCCGACATGAGAGACACGGTCAAACGCTCCTGCGATGTCCACAGCAAGGATACGAGCCGCCCCTCCGCAGCCCACAGCGCTTGCCCAGGCAGTTTGGAGAGCTTGCAAAGCGTCTGATGTGCCGAGGCCTCTGCGAAATCCAAACTGGTGCGACGTGAGCAGATGGTGGTCCTCAAAATAGTTTTCAATGTGTCTGTTTACTAGAGTTTCCATGAGTTTCAAGATTATGCACAGTAAGGATACGGGCCTATAGTTCTTAGGTTGAGCGGGAAGATCGCTTGTGGATCGGAACCACGTTGGCCGTCTTCCACATTCTAGGTTGGACTCCAGACCGGAAGCATAAGGCAAATAGCTTGGACAGTGGCTCTGCGAGCTCGTGGGCACATTCCTTAAGGACGCGAGCAGAAATAGCGTCAGGCCCTGTAGCCTTGGAGACGTCGAGCTTTGTCAGAAGGCGGCGCACAGCCTCTGGGCGGAAGCGGATGGTGCGAAGAGGTGGAGCATCTGAGGGAGCAGGGTCCGGTAGGTCAGCCTCCACAAGGTCCGGACCGGCAACGCTGCATTTTTTCGAGAAGAAGCGAGCGAATGCCTTTGCTTTCTCTGAGCTCGTTGCCCACTCGCGGCCGTCAGAGTCAACAATTAGGGGAATTTCGGGCTGTGTGCGGTTGCCTGCAGCGCTCTTCAACTTCGTCCACCACTGTTTGTCTCTGAGGGACCCAGTTGAAAGGCTGCGACGGAGGCTGTCCTCCTTTGCACGTCGTGATCGGAACTGGGTGGCGATCGCTACAGTCACGGAATTGGTGAATGCCTGCTGAAGTGCTGGGTCATAAGGGTGTTTTCTCCAATCGCGCCAGCGCTTCTCCTTCTCCCTCTCGGTCTGGGTGCATTCAGGCGTCCACCATACCGGATCGGAAGGCCTCGTTTCCAGAACTTTTTTTTCCCCTAAGCCTCTTATATGGGCAATCACAGAACATGATTTCACTGGCCTGACCGCGGCAACAACTGCAAAGCAAAACAAAACAAAAAATGTAAATAAAAATAAAATGAAACTTTACAATCTGCACACAATGACAACTCCATTTTTGAGATAGTCTCTGTTGATCAGTCAGTATCCGTTACCTGTGTTAGCTAGTTGCCAACAAGGCGGGCTTCAGCAACAGGAACATCTGGAGAGGCGTCATCCATCCCCCTATGCCAGGGAAATGGTGAGCGAGCCCCCCCCCCCCCCCCCGCAGACACATGATGTTAGCACGCAGCAAAGCAAAGGCCAGCCGGCTCCGGATAAGCGAGATATGGGTATGATACCCAACTGATCCACGCTCCTCCATAAGGACAGCCAGCGGCCGATAGAAAGCAGTAGCAGCACGGCCCATACCACCAGTTGTTGCCAGGACAAGTGGAGTGAAACTCGACATCTCCACCTCTCGTACTCGTTCAGCATAATGGCGTCGCTTCTCAGCTTCGTGCTTGTTGAAGGCAGATTGGATGTGGGCCGACCGGTTCGAAGCTGCATATGGGTTGAATACCCTTACATCAAAAAAGCAGCGTTCAAACCGTCCGCCCCACACCCCGCCTGCCACAATGTCAAGCCGTGCCTGGTCAGTTGATACTGCCGTCCGATGGCGAAACCGCTCACCAGTGACCGGCTGAAGATGAGGCTCCACCGCAACGTTATTGGCCACTCTCCGGAGCATGCTGGCGGTGACGTCACGTACCTCATTGTGGCGCAATGTTGGAAAGCCACCCTTTGGACAAGATAATGCGTGGCAGAGATCGAAACTGGCCCCGCAGGCACAGCTACTAGGAAGACCAGTCAATGGCCAGCCATACCGAAGGGCAATGCCGTCCCGGAACTCACCCTTAGTCAGAGCGAATCCGTGGCGCTTCATCGGCTGGCAAGTCAGCCAACTGGACGCTCCCGGCTGGGAGGCCAATTGGCCAGAATAGGAGAGCTCTGCCGGTGCCGCCGCAAGGAAATCAAGCACTTTGCTCTTCATAGAACGTCTGCTCGCTGCCGACAACTTGCGCTTCGCGGAATGAATACAGTCCAACGAGTCGCCAAGGGGAGCCTGAGAACAGATGCGTTACACCAGAGGCGCTGTGATGGTCTTCGAAGTGGTGTACTGGTGGTTTAGAGTGGTGGGGACTACAATTCCCAAGCCACCATGGCGGCAAGGAAAGGAACTTTGGATGGGACAAACTGTGCAACAGCTGCAGTTATCGAAGCGGTAACCTGCTCACACGAAGTTTCTGGGTCGTCCGTGATGATATTACCCCATTCCAAGTGTGCCCTGAGGCGATCCCAGTCTGCCCTGTTGTAGCGAAATACTGTTCGCTTAACAGGCGGTTCACGTCTAGGGAGCACAGAAGAAAAGTCTGACAGTACAACTGCATGATCAGATCGACTGAGGGGCGGAAGTATACGTGTAGTTACTGGGGATGTGAACGTTGACATTATGAGGTCTAGAGGGTTGTCTCCACGGGTCGGTACTGTGACGTGCTGAAAAAGAAGATGGGCAGCGCAGGTATCTTCGAGAGCCTCGCCTGCAGGCGTAGTTTTCGAGCTGTTCAACCAAGCCCGGTTGTGCACGTCGAAATCGCCAGCTAGGATAATGTGGGAGCCCTGGTGTATAGCTTCTGGGAGGATGGTGTCGAGATGATCAATTAGGGTGAGATCGCTAGGGGCACAGGACCCCGGCCGATACACTGCTCCCAAGACGGTGCGGAGACCTGGGCCCAGCTGGAGAGAGACCCAGATGATCTCTTGTGCGGGGGACATGAGTTCAGGGATGAGCATGAAGGGGAGTGACGACTTCACCCAGATGGCTACCCCTCCCCCATGTGCCGTTCTATCGAACCAAAATGGTGAGCTGTATCCAGGGAAACTAATGTCAGAGGGAAGCACTTTCTCCGCAGTGAACTTCGTTTCTGTCACAATTGCGACGTTGGGCTGATGCTGCAGGAGTGCGTGCTGTAGGTCGGGAAGTTTGCTTGCTAGGCCAAAAGCGTTTGTGCAGAGAATGCGAAGATGCTTGCTACCCTTCATTGCAGGGAGGAAGTAATAATGAAATACGTAAAAGGTGTGGAGAACAACGTCACTGTAAGCTAGGATTGAGTATCCTGTGACACCAGTGAGCTGAAGCGTGAGCCCTGTGCTGGGGCAAGGGGCTGGCAGTGGCCAGGGTCGATGCTGTTGCTCTCTTTTTGTTTTTTGGAATTTTTGAAATCAGGCGAAGATTCCGCACTGGGACTGGTTCTCCTGCGTCGTTCGGAGGTAACCCAGGGGTGTACTGGCTGTTTAGACGTGTCTGTGTTAGTCACCAGTGAGAAGAGGAGGTCTTCAGCACGCGCCGAATCTGGGTGATTGCATGTTGTGGTGGTAGGAGTAGTTGTGTCGGTGTGCGGTGAGTTGGATGTTGTCGTACCTGTAGCTGTACCTGTGCTCCTTGGCGGCGTTCCGGGGTGCACAGTCGTGCTTGTTGCCGACGTGGGCGATGTAATGTCGTACTGGTCATGGACTGGGTCGTTTGGGTGCGAGCTGGGGAGCAGGTCTTCTTTCGGCGTGCTGTTGGCACCGTCGGAGGCCGTTTTGGATACTGCGCTGGCGTGGGTCGAACTCTGGGCCGCTTTTGGTGCAGAATCGGTACGTTGAGCATGAGTGTCAGCTTCAGCTCCGCTGTTCCGCTCTGTGCTGCCAGTACTGATGCCTTCTCTGCCGGCATGCGTGGAGGTGTGGGCACTGCGACGGTTTTGGCAGGTACGCGCGATGTGACCTATCTGGCCACATAGCCTGCACGTGCTACTACTACTACTACTACTACTACTACTACTACTACTACTACTACTACTACTACTACTACTACTACTACTACTACTACTACTACTACTACTACTACTACTACTACTACTACTACTACTACTACTACTACTACTACTACTACTACTACTACTACTACTACTACTACTACTACTACTACTACTACTACTACTACTACTACTACTACTACTACTACTACTACTACTACTACTACTACTACTACTACTACTACTACTACTACTACTACTACTACTACTACTACTACTACTACTACTACTACTACTACTACTACTACTACTACTACTACTACTACTACTACTACTACTACTACTACTACTACTACTACTACTACTACTACTACTACTACTACTACTACTACTACTACTACTACTACTACTACTACTACTACTACTACTACTACTACTACTACTACTACTACTACTACTACTACTACTACTACTACTACTACTACTACTACTACTACTACTACTACTACTACTACTACTACTACTACTACTACTACTACTACTACTACTACTACTACTACTACTACTACTACTACTACTACTACTACTACTACTACTACTACTACTACTACTACTACTACTACTACTACTACTACTACTACTACTACTACTACTACTACTACTACTACTACTACTACTACTACTACTACTACTACTACTACTACTACTACTACTACTACTACTACTACTACTACTACTACTACTACTACTACTACTACTACTACTACTACTACTACTACTACTACTACTACTACTACTACTACTACTACTACTACTACTACTACTACTACTACTACTACTACTACTACTACTACTACTACTACTACTACTACTACTACTACTACTACTACTACTACTACTACTACTACTACTACTACTACTACTACTACTACTACTACTACTACTACTACTACTACTACTACTACTACTACTACTACTACTACTACTACTACTACTACTACTACTACTACTACTACTACTACTACTACTACTACTACTACTACTACTACTACTACTACTACTACTACTACTACTACTACTACTACTACTACTACTACTACTACTACTACTACTACTACTACTACTACTACTACTACTACTACTACTACTACTACTACTACTACTACTACTACTACTACTACTACTACTACTACTACTACTACTACTACTACTACTACTACTACTACTACTACTACTACTACTACTACTACTACTACTACTACTACTACTACTACTACTACTACTACTACTACTACTACTACTACTACTACTACTACTACTACTACTACTACTACTACTACTACTACTACTACTACTACTACTACTACTACTACTACTACTACTACTACTACTACTACTACTACTACTACTACTACTACTACTACTACTACTACTACTACTACTACTACTACTACTACTACTACTACTACTACTACTACTACTACTACTACTACTACTACTACTACTACTACTACTACTACTACTACTACTACTACTACTACTACTACTACTACTACTACTACTACTACTACTACTACTACTACTACTACTACTACTACTACTACTACTACTACTACTACTACTACTACTACTACTACTACTACTACTACTACTACTACTACTACTACTACTACTACTACTACTACTACTACTACTACTACTACTACTACTACTACTACTACTACTACTACTACTACTACTACTACTACTACTACTACTACTACTACTACTACTACTACTACTACTACTACTACTACTACTACTACTACTACTACTACTACTACTACTACTACTACTACTACTACTACTACTACTACTACTACTACTACTACTACTACTACTACTACTACTACTACTACTACTACTACTACTACTACTACTACTACTACTACTACTACTACTACTACTACTACTACTACTACTACTACTACTACTACTACTACTACTACTACTACTACTACTACTACTACTACTACTACTACTACTACTACTACTACTACTACTACTACTACTACTACTACTACTACTACTACTACTACTACTACTACTACTACTACTACTACTACTACTACTACTACTACTACTACTACTACTACTACTACTACTACTACTACTACTACTACTACTACTACTACTACTACTACTACTACTACTACTACTACTACTACTACTACTACTACTACTACTACTACTACTACTACTACTACTACTACTACTACTACTACTACTACTACTACTACTACTACTACTACTACTACTACTACTACTACTACTACTACTACTACTACTACTACTACTACTACTACTACTACTACTACTACTACTACTACTACTACTACTACTACTACTACTACTACTACTACTACTACTACTACTACTACTACTACTACTACTACTACTACTACTACTACTACTACTACTACTACTACTACTACTACTACTACTACTACTACTACTACTACTACTACTACTACTACTACTACTACTACTACTACTACTACTACTACTACTACTACTACTACTACTACTACTACTACTACTACTACTACTACTACTACTACTACTACTACTACTACTACTACTACTACTACTACTACTACTACTACTACTACTACTACTACTACTACTACTACTACTACTACTACTACTACTACTACTACTACTACTACTACTACTACTACTACTACTACTACTACTACTACTACTACTACTACTACTACTACTACTACTACTACTACTACTACTACTACTACTACTACTACTACTACTACTACTACTACTACTACTACTACTACTACTACTACTACTACTACTACTACTACTACTACTACTACTACTACTACTACTACTACTACTACTACTACTACTACTACTACTACTACTACTACTACTACTACTACTACTACTACTACTACTACTACTACTACTACTACTACTACTACTACTACTACTACTACTACTACTACTACTACTACTACTACTACTACTACTACTACTACTACTACTACTACTACTACTACTACTACTACTACTACTACTACTACTACTACTACTACTACTACTACTACTACTACTACTACTACTACTACTACTACTACTACTACTACTACTACTACTACTACTACTACTACTACTACTACTACTACTACTACTACTACTACTACTACTACTACTACTACTACTACTACTACTACTACTACTACTACTACTACTACTACTACTACTACTACTACTACTACTACTACTACTACTACTACTACTACTACTACTACTACTACTACTACTACTACTACTACTACTACTACTACTACTACTACTACTACTACTACTACTACTACTACTACTACTACTACTACTACTACTACTACTACTACTACTACTACTACTACTACTACTACTACTACTACTACTACTACTACTACTACTACTACTACTACTACTACTACTACTACTACTACTACTACTACTACTACTACTACTACTACTACTACTACTACTACTACTACTACTACTACTACTACTACTACTACTACTACTACTACTACTACTACTACTACTACTACTACTACTACTACTACTACTACTACTACTACTACTACTACTACTACTACTACTACTACTACTACTACTACTACTACTACTACTACTACTACTACTACTACTACTACTACTACTACTACTACTACTACTACTACTACTACTACTACTACTACTACTACTACTACTACTACTACTACTACTACTACTACTACTACTACTACTACTACTACTACTACTACTACTACTACTACTACTACTACTACTACTACTACTACTACTACTACTACTACTACTACTACTACTACTACTACTACTACTACTACTACTACTACTACTACTACTACTACTACTACTACTACTACTACTACTACTACTACTACTACTACTACTACTACTACTACTACTACTACTACTACTACTACTACTACTACTACTACTACTACTACTACTACTACTACTACTACTACTACTACTACTACTACTACTACTACTACTACTACTACTACTACTACTACTACTACTACTACTACTACTACTACTACTACTACTACTACTACTACTACTACTACTACTACTACTACTACTACTACTACTACTACTACTACTACTACTACTACTACTACTACTACTACTACTACTACTACTACTACTACTACTACTACTACTACTACTACTACTACTACTACTACTACTACTACTACTACTACTACTACTACTACTACTACTACTACTACTACTACTACTACTACTACTACTACTACTACTACTACTACTACTACTACTACTACTACTACTACTACTACTACTACTACTACTACTACTACTACTACTACTACTACTACTACTACTACTACTACTACTACTACTACTACTACTACTACTACTACTACTACTACTACTACTACTACTACTACTACTACTACTACTACTACTACTACTACTACTACTACTACTACTACTACTACTACTACTACTACTACTACTACTACTACTACTACTACTACTACTACTACTACTACTACTACTACTACTACTACTACTACTACTACTACTACTACTACTACTACTACTACTACTACTACTACTACTACTACTACTACTACTACTACTACTACTACTACTACTACTACTACTACTACTACTACTACTACTACTACTACTACTACTACTACTACTACTACTACTACTACTACTACTACTACTACTACTACTACTACTACTACTACTACTACTACTACTACTACTACTACTACTACTACTACTACTACTACTACTACTACTACTACTACTACTACTACTACTACTACTACTACTACTACTACTACTACTACTACTACTACTACTACTACTACTACTACTACTACTACTACTACTACTACTACTACTACTACTACTACTACTACTACTACTACTACTACTACTACTACTACTACTACTACTACTACTACTACTACTACTACTACTACTACTACTACTACTACTACTACTACTACTACTACTACTACTACTACTACTACTACTACTACTACTACTACTACTACTACTACTACTACTACTACTACTACTACTACTACTACTACTACTACTACTACTACTACTACTACTACTACTACTACTACTACTACTACTACTACTACTACTACTACTACTACTACTACTACTACTACTACTACTACTACTACTACTACTACTACTACTACTACTACTACTACTACTACTACTACTACTACTACTACTACTACTACTACTACTACTACTACTACTACTACTACTACTACTACTACTACTACTACTACTACTACTACTACTACTACTACTACTACTACTACTACTACTACTACTACTACTACTACTACTACTACTACTACTACTACTACTACTACTACTACTACTACTACTACTACTACTACTACTACTACTACTACTACTACTACTACTACTACTACTACTACTACTACTACTACTACTACTACTACTACTACTACTACTACTACTACTACTACTACTACTACTACTACTACTACTACTACTACTACTACTACTACTACTACTACTACTACTACTACTACTACTACTACTACTACTACTACTACTACTACTACTACTACTACTACTACTACTACTACTACTACTACTACTACTACTACTACTACTACTACTACTACTAC